ATAGTATAAAAAACAAAAAATATACAGAGATTAGTTAGCAGCAAAAATCAAGTTAAGACTAATATATAAGAAATTTATATATAGATACTTAAAAGATAAGAAGCAATCAAAAAACTTATACAAATGACAAAAAAAATCCAAGAATACAAGATTTTTGAAGTATATATAAACAAATCCTTGCTAGACTTGTAAAAGAAATCAGAAAAAACTAAAATAAATATAGTGTTGTTACTAATAATAAAAACAAAAAAAGATGAAGAGATAAAAACTCAATTTAATTGTGTAATGATAGATTGGTCATTATTTATTAGCACAGGTCCAAATTTGACATATTCTACACCTATTCTACACCTATCCTGTACAATAACATGTAGGATATCTCATATATATCTGCAAACCAACTATATATATTCTATATATATTCTATATATATCTTACGAATTTGAGTATTTGTGTAAGATTTGTATACTATATGTGTACTATATATACAGAATATTCTATGAATTCTCACTAATTTGCTACCTGATTTGTATAGTTTAAGTATAAAATATATCAAATTTCGACTTGTATAGAGCAAAACAAGACACAATACTGATAGTCTTGCTAGTTATTCTAAAAGATGTGGAGCTACAAGTAAATATAAATAGTTAAACAGCAATCTAAATAATCAAAAGTACAAAAAATAATAAGAAAATAAGAAGCTGTCTTAAAATAAAAAATAAGTTTTTTATAACAGATAGAGAAAATAATAAGAATTATAAAAATTAGACTCAAGTTTTACAAAGTAAAAGGTTATAGTAGAGTAAAAAGAAATAAGAAAACAGACAAGTTAGCAAAAGAAAAGTCAAGATCAGATTATTATAGACCAAGATATTATAAGTATTGTAACAAATTAAAATGAAATCAAATTAAAACGAAAATTTTCTAATTTTTAAAAAAATTTAAAATTTTTTAGAAAATATTTTTTAGGGTTTTTTAGCATTAGAGATTAGGTTTAGGTTTAGGATTATTAATAAAAGAGTATATGTAGATTTTATAAGCTTTAAGGTTAAGCAAGAGAAATTTTTAATTTTATTTTAATCTGATTTTATTTTAATCTGTGACAATTATTGTTAAAATAAAAAAATATAATAATAGATAGTTCAATTTGAAAGTTTATAAACTAGGTCACAACTTCAATACTAGATACAGAATAGGCAAAATTAGATAAAATAAAATTTAGATAAAAAAAAGATAATAGTGGTATAATTAGAGAAATATATAGAAATATATAAAGGTAACAATTGTATAGATAGTAAAGCAAATAATTAATAGATTTTTAGAATTAAATATTTTAATAAAGCACTACCAACAATAATTGAACTAAATATAAAGAGACCAGAATTGTACAAAACTAGTGAGTATCTATATACCTAAACAAGTCAGAAATAATGATTCATTTAACAAGCTACAAAGAATATTAAAACAAATAGAGTATAATAGAAAAAGAGATCACAAAAGAAGCAGTCAAAACCCTAAAAAAGAAGATCATTTAGTCTATTTTTCAAAGAAAAAAGAAATAAAAAACAATATTTTCAGTTTAAAAGAATATAAAAAAATCAATATAATGAGAGAACTAATTCAAAAAAACAAAAATCAAGATTAGAAAACATGCTTCAAAAAAAAAGTAGCAAAGAAAATAATTAGTAATATTCTAAAAATGTTTGATAAGAGATTCTAATAATATGTCTGGAATTTTAGATATAAAATATAAAACAAGTAAGAAAAAAAAAGGAATCTTAAGAGAAGACAAATAAAAGAAAAAAAGAAATAAAGCAAAAAAAAATTAAATCAAAAAAATAAAAAAAGACTAAGTATTAGGAGTAAAGAAAAAGGAGGATTACAAAACTACTATATTTAAAAACATTAAGAATTTAATTTGATACAGATCAAAACCATTGTGATCTTTACTAATAAAATGTAAAACAGGAACAAAAGTGTAGTAGAAAAGGACAATATTAACAAAGTGTGTAGCCACTAGTTTATAACTAAAAGAAAGTAAGTTCTTAGTAAGTTAATAATCCAAAAAAAGGTCAATAGCTACTAAAGCAGGTTATATCTAAGTGTAAGCTGAATAAGCTATCTGTTTGATTAAATTAGTACAACTATAGATAAAAATTTATATAATTTTTTGAACAGTTTAATCATAATAACCAGAGGCAGAATTGCCAAATTACAAAAAAAAAATATAGAGTATATAATAATTACAGATTAGCTTTATATAATTACTGGATTGGCAATCAAAATTTAATATAACTAAAATAATAATAATATAATTAGTATGATAATATAAGGTAATATTATGTTGGTACAGTGATAATTTTTTGATTAGAGAAGATTACAAAGCAGTATTTTTTGAATAATTAAAAAAATTAGTACTGTATTAATGTGATGTATCTTAGAATTATCATGTATATTAGTATAATAGTATGGTAGTCATTAATCATAAATTGTACTATTTAGTTTTTTAAACTTCTTTAATTCATATAGTGCAAAATGATATTAGTATAAATAATGTAAACCATACAAAATAACAAGCATAAATAATGTAATAAAAAAAAAGTAATTTTATAACATAAACAGTATAATACTCATGATCAATAGTGACTGTGTTATAATATCTATATAAAGATTAATTTTCTAACTAATATATACAGTCAAACCCCTCTATAGTCACCACCTCTATAGTCACAAAATTGGTATAATTACAAATTTATTTTTACCAATTATTTATAACTATATAGAAAATACCTCTATATTAATCACACCTCTTAATAATCATGGTTTTTTGTATCCTGAAGGTGTGACTATAGAGGGGTTTGACTGTAACTCTTTCTATAAATCACTTATACAAAACAAATCCTAAAAAATATCAAGACAAAAATAACTACAACTTCTTAAACTAACAAATGATGAGATCATTTAGAAGTTATTTGGCCCAACACTGCTTATGATGCTTATGAGAATACTGTTATTATTTTACTGTTCTCAAAAAATTTGTGCTTTTATAGCATTCACAATATGCTTACAACATATATGATTGTTATCATTTATTTATTTAAGAAATCTTCACATTTGTTTAACATTAAATAAATGCGATTGGTTGTCTTTTCGAAAATTACTCTCGACTTATTTTAAAATAGGATATATTAAAATGCAACTTTTGTATCACCGTGCATAGAAATCAAGCCCTCCCAGTGTTGTTAGAGACAATGTTAATTAACTATTTGAACTAATGAATCGGTTATTTAATCCATTAACCGAGTCAATACAATTGAACGTGCAGATATTTAAAAATGCCTAATTGTATGATTATAAACCAATAAGATGAGTTTATATTTATAGAACTTTGCATATACTATTGCATCGGTTCAGCTCACTTCACCGACGCTTATTTCGTAGAAATAACATTTCACCGACAGGTTAATTCACCGAAACTCACTTCACCACAAAATAATTCTGGTCATTGGTCAGGCTAGAATTAAAGTTAAGGTTAGTGGAATTTATAAAAAAAAATTGTCTTAAATGAGCTTCGGTGAAATAAATTGTCTGTGAAATAAACTTGGCGAAATAATTGTTGGTGAAATAAACATGTCGGTGAATTTTTGTCGGTGAAATGTTATGTCTACGAAATGAGTGTCGGTGAAGTGATACGTATCCACTATGACATTGAAGTTATTTAACTAATCCGATGTCTTATGACTTGAGTAAATAACCATAGTTCAAAAGTCCAAATAGTGACATTAACAACACTGAGCCCTCCGCTTCGCTCCAGACAATTACTAATATAGAAATTAATTAATCAGAAAATTTTCTATAAAACCACACTAAAAATTATTAATAAATAAATACAAGACAAACTTTATCATAATACAAACAAAAGAAATTTTAAAATACTGTATCTATCAAATAAAAGCTCTTTTAAATAATTATTTTAGAATTTTAGAATTACAGTCAAACCCCTCTATAGTCACCACCTCTATAGTCACAAAATTGGTATAATTACAAATTTATTTTTACCAATTATTTATAACTATATAGAAAATACCTCTATATTAATCACACCTCTTAATAATCACGGTTTTTTGTATCCCGAAGGTGTGACTATAGAGGGGTTTGACTGTATTTCAACATTTACTTAACTAAATTTAATCAAAATCTTTTTTATTTCAGCATTTTAATTTTAATAGAACTCAAATAAACAAAAAATTTATTAATGATGTCAAAATATCTATAAATTGTAAAATGATTTACATTACAGGTGTGGCATTATCAGAAGAAGGATATGGAAATATTAGTTCCTGTTATAACATATCAAGAATAAAGTTATGTTTAATTAATATTAATGTAGCAGTACTTATAATAATAATTTCGGCATTACTTTGAAGTATCATGGAGAAAATATGTTGCTATAACACCAGCCGTAAATCATCCGTAATTTAGACACCCATGTATAATATTAACAATAGATAATGCATGAGTACTAGTCTTAGCGAATATAACATTAGGACAACACCAGGACGACCCCCGAAGTTCGGGTTGATGATCAATATCATTGCTGTAGCATATAATTCTGGTCAGATTTATATCATGTAGGCCTTATTTACGCAGAACAGTCAATCAAAATCGTTTACTAATGACCATCAACTCGAACTTCGGAGGGGCCGCCCTGGTCTAACATTAGAGTGGGCTTATTAGAGTCTAAGTATATAATGGGTATTTTTCGATTCGCTACGTAGTTATCTTCGCCATTTTCTTTTATTGAAGAAATAAACATATATTTGATATATAAATACATTATTCCTCTTTCGAGCATACGACCAAATCACATCATATTTATAATATTTATCCTTCTAAATATTACATACCACAGCGTAGCTCCATATTACTATATTATTACGCATACGAGACTCTGTGTTATTTGCTGGTCTCTGAAAGTTAGTCAATCTTAATCAACGAAATCACGTTCGAGCTTTTTTTGACGGTGCTGCAGTGGAAGAATTATAATGAAACTTCACATTCTCTAGAACCTAAAAATTAAAAAGTAGTTAAAACTTTTATAGATTAATTAAAGACAAGATATAATAAGTGTAATTATTCACCATAAATTTTTAGCGATCCTGCAGATAAAGAATTAGTTGCCTCAGAAAGGTTTTTAAAGTTAAGCAATTTACTTGTAAGTTTATCTTTATGGAAAGTTGGTATTTCTGTTGATAATGTTGGAATAATTGCATCTGCAGACTGAAATGCTTTTAATATTGCTAATTCATGATTATCGTATGCAGCATTATTATATACTATCATAGACCATCCAGATAATTTATTATGAATATCTTCTGCAGTTGGTCTATTAAAAGAATTGGCATCCATACATTGATTTGCTAATTGAGTATAGCACTCAGGAGTGCCTTTAGCAAATTCAGGACGTAATC